TTGATCTGTACTGAGCACTTTTCTGTCCACCTCTGGCATTTCTACATTATGGTTTATAGGTTGAAAATCAACAATCTTTAAGACGTCACAAGTTTCAAGGGACTTTCCAATTAAGCCTGAATAGCATCTCGGACCAGATGTTGGACCATCTAGCTCTCAAACAAATGGCGTAGTGGAAGCTCGTTTGCATGTAGCAAACAAATTACCGATTGTAGAGGCCGTTGAAGTTCAACTCAATCAATCTGATAACACCACCCTTGTTTCCTGTGTTTACATTTGTTCCATCACAACCCAGCACTTGAAAATTATCCAAAATAATATTGTGCTCTTTAGAATACTGTATAATTGCAAACTTTAGTGATTCAGCTGTTCCGCTAAGAGGAGTGCAGTGTCCCAAGTAACCTCCACCAGGTTCCTGAATCAAGCATATGTGCTCCTCCATCACTATGGTTCTCTTATTACTGACAAATTTGAGTGTTCGGTCTATTTTGCCATCCAAGTACAACTCCTTTACTTGGATTTCACCAACTTTCGGGTTATCCCTTGTTTTTATGCGCTCATGCGTGATCTTGCTGCGGTCAATAACTTGTGTTTTGTTATCATATGAAATAACTCCAATATTCTCAAGTACAGCTGTCTGAGAGTCCGTGGCGGTCACAGACTAATGAGAGAGAAGGGAGAAACAATCGCATCTGCTTTGAAGATGAAGGTGTTAATGACTGGGTGTTTTCAACGATAGCAGGCTGTTTTGAAGTAATAGGTTTGGTAGAAATAAAAGAATCTAATGACAGTGCATAATTAAGGTTTGAGCTCTGTTTGCTTTAGATATTCTGCAGTTTTGCTGTAGTTTTTTTGTCTATTGAATCTATAGCCATTTTGCGTTCATTCCTTTGATCTTCCATAAAAGGATGCTCGATAGCTGATACCATATTAACTTCGGCACAGCAGCATTCCTTTAGATCTTTGCATTGGCAAGCAGATATATCAAACAGTTTTGCTAATTTTTCCTTGTAGAACTGAAATTTGTTTTCTTTATTTTTCCTGTTTGTTGAAGTTTTTGGCAGCTTTATGTTCTGCTTATAAAGGTTAAAATCTCTGTCAAAGATGGAATTGATGACGCAGTTGGTATATTACATTTTCCCAAAATTCTTAAAACCTCTATTGTGGTTGAACCTGCTTCATTCTTTTTGTTGGTTTTTCCTGCAGGTTTTTGTAAATTTATAATATATATATATATATATATATATATATATATATATATATATATATATATATATATATATATATATATATATATGTATATATATATATATATATATATATATATATATATATATATATATATATATATATATATATATATATATATATATATATATATATATGTGATATATATATATATATATTTATATGTATATATATATATATATATATATATATATATATATATATATATATATATATATATATATATATATATATATATACATATATATATTTGTTTACATATATATATTTGTTTACATCTAATTGTATTATTATTTGACAACTGATATGTAATATAGTTTGCTTACATTTACTTATAAATACACCATATGCCGCATAACATCTAGTCCTGTTGGCAGTTGCACATCAGAGAGTGGCTTTGAGTACCCAAAGAATGGATGATCTGTTTTAGATCTTAACACTTTATTTACTGAAATTTAAAACAAAGCTCAAAATATATAAATGGTGATAATTATTGTTACTGACTAAATGATAACAAGTATTATAGATATTATAATAAATACTATTATTTATTAATTGAATACTAACCTTTAAAAATATGGCTCGGGGAAAGAAATAGAGCGTGGATTTTATTATATGCTAAATATTAACTTTTTTATTTCAAAAAAGATCTTTTAAATGATTTAAAAGCATTAAATTAACCTTTGCAATGCAAAAGTGAGTATTTTGGTCATAATACTAATGGATAATACAATCATATCTAATATGTTATAACTTTAAAGCTTCTTCAAAAAATATATTTAAAAACATTTAAAGTTTGCACTTTCAATAATAAGTTATATTGGTCAAAAATTGGTGCTGGGGGTAGTTCTTGTTCAATTTTGCTTATCTTGGTCTCATTTTTTTAGTTTTCTTATAGTTATTATAGAAATCAGGGAGAAAATATAAATTACTAAGAAAAGTTGTTTTCACTCCACCCTAACGTGCATGTACAAAATATTTAACTATCAAAAATTTTCATATATTTGGCAAAAAATTTTTTCCAATTATAGCGAAATATTTTTTACAGAATTCGAAGAATTTTTTAAAAAATTTGCTTCGGAGTTGGAGTTGGAGTAGTACTCTGATAATTTCAAGGGTTGGACTCGGAGTTGGTACTTCTTTTTTACGACTCCACACCCCTTATCTTATATACACAAGATTATCATATATACATAGTGTTGTTACTATTTGAATTATGTATGTACAGAAGTATCCAGTAATTTTTGCTTTACTCTTAAACTTGGTGTCTTTTAAAAAACCACACACAAGCCTGAGTTTAAACTTTTTAATTAGATTTTTATTATTTTTATATCTTTTAAAATCAATTAACATGTTTTTTATTTTATCAACTTTACTATCTTTTAATAACTTGTAATTTTTCACAGCTTCCATGCCCCACATCTAAACAATACACTTATATAAAAAAAAATTTCAATGTTTTAAAATTCTTTAAATTTTAATCAGTAATAGTTTTCAAGGAATCAAGGAAAAAATGAATAATTTAAGCTCTTTACTCTAAAAGATGTATTTTGAAATTCAACCTAAATTTTTTCCCAATTTGTTAATTATTAACTTTGTAGTTTTATTTTTTTATATGATTATTTTAAGTTATAATGGAAGAATATGGGAATATTGGTATCTTATCATTTTTGAATCCAAAAATGTAGAGAAGATTTAAAATTATTAAGTACTGTAAGTTTAGAAATGAAAGCTTGATAATTTTTAGTTTAAGATTGTTTTGTTTTTTAACATTATTATAGATATCAAAAGAGTTCATTTTATTTTATAAACAGTCTTCACTATAAATATAACATAATCTTTATGCAATAAAAACAAATATGTAGTACCAGAAGGGGCAAAATGGCATAAATTAGCATAAAATATGAATTAGAATTAAGTAAAAAATCAGAAGAGAATAAGAAAAATATTGCTATTAAAGATAACATGGAGAAAGAAATTATGCTGGAGTCAATAAGATTATTGTTTAAAAGCACTTTCTGCGCACTTAGGATATCCTCTTTAAAAAACCAAACAAACCTACAGCTGAATATGGGAAGATAAAGTTAAGGAAGCAATTATTAAAAAATTTGTTATTATGGATGTTATGTTCTGTACTAAATGTCACTAAATTTTGATGAATTCAAGGAAGGAAAACTTGAAGCTTTGAACAAAATATATCAATTAAATATTGACATTGACTCTAAAATCTTTTTCAATCAGAAAAGCAGCTAAATCCTTTTTTTCTAAAGCGAAATTTAAATTGTAAAATCGTTAAGCAACCAAATAGACATAAAATAACTAAATGTAGTATATTGGCCTTAAACTAACAAAGATTTTTTAAATCTTGTAAAATTTTTTACTTTGATTATGAGTATTTAAAGTAAAATTAGATTTTCAAAAGTAGATTTTTTAAGCCTCTATTCATAAAAAAACTGATTAACCTCCTTCAAGCTCATGATATACTTACCAAAGCTATCCATCAAGGCTACAGTGCTGATGCTGAATACTCCGATTATGTTGATGCAATCAATAAGGTCCCAAAAGCAAATTTTGTACAAGTTAAATAGCAAATTTTGAACAAGTTAAAGTTAAATACACCACAAGTTATATCATCAAAATACATTACATGTAAAATTTGCAACAAGCAGCTTTTGTGGATTGAAATATGACTCAAAGATAATAAACAACGAGCTGTGCAAGGAGAACTCATTTCTGACTGGAAGAATGTTACTAGAGGAATTCCTCAAGGGTCTATCTGAGGCCACTACTTTTCATCTTATATACAACAGTTCAGGAAGACATTGATTTTATGTTCAAACATTGGTTTTATGTTCAAACACTTGGCTCATTTACTTTAACATTGATAAATGTAAAGCATTTAGGTTGTCCAAAGTAACGTTTAACACATGAGTACTTCAAGGTAACCACTGATGGCACGTGTTAGATACTTCAACTACAACTACTAAATGTGATCTCAACATGTGTCTCAAATGAAATAAAATTCAGGGCACAATTAGAAAATGGATCCACAGCCAATTGCATGTAAGGCTCAAAAACGCTTGAATTTGCCATTAATGTCTGTTCCCTGTGTTATGATATAAATATTGAGTTACTTAAGGATGTTTAAGACTGCTAGATTAATTGCATTGAAAATTTTAGTTTAGTTTCATAACTTTTAAATGCTTAATACAAGGTGGGGTGGGAATAAAATGTGGATGGAAACTTTTTTATGATCTTATAAACAGGTGGTAGAGTATTTTAATAAGCTCGGGGTTAGTGAGGAAAACTTTTTACAAATCAACAAAAACCCTCACACGTTATTTCTTATAATAGAAACTAATTAAAATAAATTTTAAATAAAAATAGGTTTGACATACCTACCCTATTAAGTATGTTAAAACTAGTCAACAGAAATGATTATTTATAACTATGAAAAAAAGAACCAACCAAATAAAAAAAAAATGAAACCTGCATAATACAGCAAACTTATAATAAAGCTCAAAACTAGTTTGTCTTAGTAGTAAAATTCCTTCTAACAAATCAAATTTAAGTATAACTCCAATCATTAGGAGCTGAAATACTTCTATGAACACTATTATCATTTAAATAACAATTACAATAAAAATAGTAACAATAAAAGCTATACATACAAAAAAAAGTACTAACTTTAACAAGAAAAACAATAATGGGTAAATACTAAATGTGAATGCAATAATGTAAGTGAGCTTAACCTAAAAGAAAAGATGCTAAAATTTTTGAAATTATGATTCTTTCTTCTGTGTTGCAGTCATTATAAAAGAAAGGTACTGTCATATAATCTCCACATGCTAACAAAATTGCAGCCAGTTGTGCAGGTTTTAAAAACAAAGTTGATGTATAAGAAAAAAGAAAAGCTGGCAGTTCTCCAAAAGCTTCCGAATAATAGCTGTATTCCCCACCTGATAGTGGTATCATTGTTCCCATCTCTACATAACATAAAGATATTAATGCAACTAAAATACCCGAAGCAGTCCAAACTATTAAAGCCATCCCAGGGCTTCCTGCATTAATAAACACATTACTTGTTGAAGCAAATATACCACTTCCAATCATTGTACCAACAATTAAAGAGATGCAACCAAGTAGACCTACCTTTTGTTTTGTTTCTGCTTTTTTTTGATGCAATGGTTCATACTCATTACCCATTGTTAATATTATTATTATTTATTTTATCTGTAAAAAAAAAAAAATATTTCACAAACTTTATATAACATATACGTAAAAATGTTTAGAACTATAAAGAAAATTATTACAAAAATTATGATAATCATTGTAATGTCTCCTTTAATAGTATTATATGAATTTAAGCTATTTACTACGTGTACAACATGTTACTAGCTGACATATAGATATCTGGGTTATAACTTCTTGGTATCTTGTAATTCCTGTACTAAAAACAGATGAACTTTGGTTTGAAAGTAACTAACAAACTATTGGTTCCAATTACTTAGTCAAATTGTATCACTCATAATTCTACATTGTAAATAATTTTTTTTTTATAAAAGTAATTTTTTTCCTGTCTGAAAAGACCGTGAATTTTATAGAGTTTAAAATTTAGAATTCTTTTTTATTAAATTTTTTTTTTTTTGTTTATGTAATAAAAGTGTAATATATAAATAAAATCAATGGCGCTCGATTTACCTAAAAGTTAAAAAACGTGTAGCCTAGGGCCCTACTGTTTTAGGGGTTGAATGTTTAATTTTTTAGGGTTTTTATATAATTATTTTTAAAAATATTATTTTCATGATCTTCGTTTTTTTTTAAATATAAGATCACATAAATCATAAGTTTAATCAATAAATAATACTTAAGGTAAATTTAATGTAAACTAAGTCTTCAGTTTAAGAGTTAAATTAGTCAATAACTTAAAAATGAACTCTACCTTTTTAAAATCACTTTAAGAAATGATTTTGTGAAAGTGGAGCTCAAAAGTATTTAAAAAAAGCAGAAAAAGAACAAAAATACAACAAAAATTTAAAACTTAATGGATTTTTTGTTTGTAGGAACTGCAGAAATTATAGAAGACTTGTTGAACCACACCAATAAGTTTCTGAAAATATTATCTAAGATTCTATACATCCAGAAGATTTAGAAACATTAATAATTGTTTAAAAGTCTCCTTATGTATAGAATATTTGAACACTCCCCAGCCATCACAAACACGTGTTTTTAAAATCTAAAATATTATCACCTTTTAGACGTCTAAATTCATATAACTTTAAGACTAATTGTATTTATCTTTGAGACGACAAATAATAGCTGTCTAAAGCCGTCTAAAAGATGACAACTCATAGATGTGACATTTAATAAATAAATCTAATAAATAATAGATAAATCATATCAAATCAATCAATCACTCATCAGATAAATATAAGACATCTAAGATGTCTTATATTTATCTGAATTTAGACATCTTAAATGTATTAACATTTTAGATGCTAAAAAAGACGTCTTAAAGACGTGTTTGTGACGGCTGGAAGTGATTTAAGCATTTATTTTTTTTTAACATTTTGCCGTTTAATATTACAATAACTAAAAAAAATTTTACAATTTTTACATTAGTAACGACAGGACTTCTGGAAAATCATGAGGATCTTGTCATGAAGCCCTTTACAATATATGTTTAATTTTTATTAAAAATACACCCAGGAAGCACAGATCGTTTTTAAAGCGTTTAAAAAACGTTAAAATCCGTTTTAATAGGTTTTTTAAACGTTTTAAAAACGTCCTATGCTTACTGGGCAATGTATGTAGTGAAATAATAACAATACACTTTTTTGCAAAAATATTTAAAAACCAAGATAAAATATAAAAAAGCCAAGATAAAATGTTAAACCATATAATATACAAAATAAAACAACAACAACAAAAAAAAAAAAATTAAAAATAAATCAAGATATTTTCAATCAAAAATATATATTTTTTAAATTTTTATTTGAATGAAGCAAAAGTCAGCCGGGTGAAAAAATCAAACTTTGGTAAGACTATTTTGTTCCAGAGATAAGGACCTCGGTAAGAAACAAAAAACTGGTCTTTGCTTTCACGACAAAAAGGGGCAACAAGATTGATATTAATTCGAAGATTTTATTTGTGTTTAGGTTTTATACAATAAAGATTTTGTAATACATTTGGCGACAAATTTTCTCTAAATTTAAACATGAAACATAAAATATTAAAGACATTTAGTTGATATACATTTAAAATATTCATTTCTTTAAAAACTTGTTTTGTACGAAAAAAACGATTTTTAAAATTTATTGTGCGAGTTGCGTGTTTCTGAAGAAGGTAAAGAAATTTTTGCTTTGTTCCGTATGTGCTTCCCTATAAAATATTCGCGTAGTTTATATGACAATGTATAAATGAATAATATAATTGTGTTAAATGGTGTTTCCTTAATATATTTTTTGCTTTATAGAGAGTTCCGATGCATTTAGCAATTTTATTGGAGGTATATAGATTTTCATCAATATATACTCCGAGAAACTTATTAACTTTTTCTCTTTTAATTATTATATTATAAATTTAAAGGTCTGGCATGATGTGGCGTAGTTTATGGTTTTTAAAAGGTAGATAAAAAAGTGTTCATTTAGTTTTTTCTATATTTAGAGACAATCTATTTTGTTTAAATCAAACAGAAACTCTTTTTAATTCATTTGTTATATTAGTAAAAAGCATATCAATATCTTTATGAGACAAAAACAAATTTATGTCATCTGCAAAATTTATTGTTGTTAAATTTGATGATTTATGAAGATCATTTATACATATTAAAAAAACAAGAGGACCAAGTAACGATCCTTGTGGAACACCACATGTTATATTCATTAATAGAAAAGATAAAGAATTTTTATAGTAAACAAACTGTTTACGGTTAGTTGGATAACTTTCAAACCATAATAAAGTTTTATCTTTAATACCATATGATATTAGTTTTTTTAATAGAATTTGATAAATTGACGGTATCGAATGCCTAGGACAAATCAATAAACACTCCTAGTGTAAAACAAGAGTCTTTAAATGAGTCAATTATATTGCGCGTAAGTTGAAGAATGGCATGCTCGGTTGAATTATCTTTTTTTGAAACTAAGTTGGTTTTTGTATAGATTTTTATTTTCAACAAGATAAGATTTCTTAACAAGTTGTACATTATTCTTTCTAAAATTTTTGAAAAAACTGGAAGAACTGAAATAGAGCGATAATTTGTTATATTTGTACGATCCAGGGGATCGTACAAATATAACAAATTATCTTCATAAATTAATTGAAGATTGGAGTTACTTTCGCTATTTTTAGTTTATCTGGAAAAGACCCTTGTGCAATGTATGTTCTGAAGATTTTATAAAGAATATCTTTTATAACATGGTAGGAATCAATCACAGCATGTGTGTTAATATCATCATACTCAGTAGCTTTATTTCGTTTTAATGACTTAAAAGCAACCTTAAATTCATTAAAAACTAACTCAGTAAAATTTAGATTAGAGTTTTTTGATGTTTCGAACTCATTAACAGATTTATTTTTAATAAATCAAATACTATTGCTTAATTTTGTCCCGATAGTGGAGAAAAAGCTTTTCAAATAAGTTTTTATAAGTTTTATAATTTTGTTTGTTTTTCTGATTTTGATTTTAGGTATTTAATGTATAGCTTCTGCTTAATTTTTTTACAATTTTCTGAGACCTTTAGTATTCCAGTGAGATGACATTTCTTTATCGCTTAAAACTTTTTCAATTAAAAGAAAATTGGAATTATACACTTGGTAAAAAATTGTCGTAGATTATGTTGATATTATCATTAAAGTTAATATAACCCCAACCTTTAAGTGATAATTGTTCTCTGAAAGAATTTAAAATATTATTGTTGATAAGCCGTTTTTTTATTAAAACCTTTCCCTTAATTTTTTTTAAATTAACATATACAGAAAAAAAAATTGGGAAGTGATCGGAAACATTGGTCCCCAGAATTCCCTTTTTTAGCGACCCATTAAAAAAATCAGTTGTTAAAATGTTATCAATTAATGATGGTAAATGACATGTGATTCTAGTCGGGCGATTAATTAAAGGTATTGTTCCAGTTTCAAATAAACCATTAAAAAATTTTCTCGAACTTTGATTTTCGCAATAATCAAAGGAGTTTATGTTGAAATCCCCGATAAACAGTATTACTGAATAACTATTGTTTATTCTCGAGAATTCTTTCTCGAGCCATTTCACGTTTTATTTTTTTTTTCATTTCTTAAAAAATTATTAGATATTTCTCGAGAAAATGTAAAAAATTTTGTTAGAACGCTAACTTCAAGTTCAAACTACAATATCTTTAATTTGACGCTGAGCCTAGCGCAACGGCACTGTCGCTTTATTATTTTTTCTTTAAGTAACGGTAGTCGTTTCTGATTGGTTAATCTTTTTTTTTTTGTTTTTTTAATTTAAAGAATGCATGCCCAAACCAATAAACTTAATCGATGTATGCGCGCTCCACTGCGCCTATCCCAAAATCAGTCGATATATTGCCTATCCCTAAACCACGGCTACGGCTTAAACGCGCTTATTTAAATATAGCGGTGGAACTAATGACCTCAAAATCATTAGTTCTTAATTTTTATTGCTAATTTTATATTTAAATTTTCCTTACTTTTTGCCTTTCATTAATCAATAACGTCTTTAAATAAATAAAAAATTGTAAAATACTGCAAATATTTATATAAAATCTTTTTATATGTAATTTTATAGTGTTCAGTAATTTGTCGGCCATTATAATAAATATTGACAATTACGGCAATGAACATCAATATGCTTAGCAAATAACAGGATAGAACAGTTTTATAAAATTTTGAAAACAAATGGCATTTGCTACTTATAGTTATAATAAAAAACTCAAAAAAATACCAAAAAAAAAAAATATATATATATATATAAATATATATATATATATATATATATATATATATATATATATATATATATATATATATATATATATATATATATATATATATATATATATATATACATATATATATATATAATATATATATATATATAATATATACATATAATATATATATATATATATATATATATATATATATATATATATATATATATATATATATATATATATATATATATATATATATTATATATATATATATATATGTATATATATATATATAT